ACGCTACATTTCTTCACTGAGCCAAAAAAAAAAAAGGTATAAGATTGTTACATGTTTTCGTCAAAAAATTATACCTGATGGAATATCTTGGGAACTTCTCCACTTGGATTTGCAAATTGCACTGTCAAAACCAGCACTTCGAAGGCGGCGGCACACCTCTTTCATCAAACAATTCCGGCAGCCATTATTGAATTGTCTTCCGCAGCCGCAAAAACTTCCTGTTTGTTGTGCTGCTTTTACTGTCTCCTTAGTAATACTACGAATACTTGATTCTATTGAACTTGTCTTGCATAGTGTAGCCTGTACAAAATAACAAATCATAAGTATTACCAAAAATAAATTGTTCTAGAAATGCCCATCTTTCATTTGCTTTGGAACCGAATCATTAGGCTGAGTCGGGATCTAAGATCAGACTTTAAACTTCTTAATTTGTATAAATGGAGAAAAAGAAAGATATAAACTTACTTGTAAAAGCTGATTTTGAGTCTCCCAGAAGCTATTATCTTCTGCATTCCCATTTCCATTTTTCTCCTCATCTCCAGCGTCGTCTTCATTTTCGCCGTCGAAACTCACCGGCGATAACCCTTCACACTCCTCATTCAGAAACTCAAAAACTGTGTCTGATAAATTTATGGCTGCAGGGTCGCCGGAAAACTCGATTTCCTGACTTTCACACGTCAGAATGCGGTGATTGATAGGAATTCTAGCCATTACTCCGGTCATAGCCTATAACCTTACCGAGTTTTAGTAAGACAGCTTGATTGAGCTGTTTAAAAATATTTTCTTCCGAGTTTCAACAATCTGAGGAACAGGCTTTATATATCCTGGCGTTGAATGTATGGGTCCCGTTAGTCCTACGTGGACATACCAGCGTTGATCCACATGGTGAAAATTACATTAGGTTACCCAACTTTGAGCCAACTTTTATTTTAGTACTTCACTTTTTTTTATCGAAGCTCGGCTTTTCATCGAATTTTAAATCTAGTAACTTAACTTTTTTTTCCCCTAACTCATCCGAATAGTTTGAATTTTATTTCAGTTACACTTATAAGAGTCCATAAAAAAAAAAAAAAAAAAAAACTTAAGCCTTTCCCAATGTGATAGGATGATTTTTCTTGCTAATTTCATACTGCACTGAATAATTGATTCAAGAAGATGTAAAACGGTCATTTTAACATGGAATTCATGATAGAAATGCCGGTACAACGAAAATTATCTAAAAACAAAGTTTTACAAGTTGAAATGTGTAATTATTGTACAGTGAAAAATATTCATACCATCTACGTTAGAAATTATTTTGCTAACGTAGTAAATAATGTTAATTTTTTTAATGCTACTTTGTAGCGTGACTAAAATGCTACTTTGTTAAAAGTCCTGGGACCTCTAGTGTTTTCTAGTTTCAACGTGGCACTTGATGATTGGGTGACTCCAATCGGGTGGTCCAAATGGGTGAACCAGGCAGCAAGGATCCACGTCAGTACGAGTCAATAATTCTATCCGGATATACTCGAATATTCTAAAATTAATATTAATGGTTTTTAAATGTCATTATTTGTTGCTATCCTATCCTAATCCTGGGGAGTGGGCCATACCAATCAAAAAGAACGTGGCGGAATCGTGGTCGTTGATTACTTAGGTTTATCCGATGACGTGGGACCGCCGTGTCTGCCACCTAACAGCACTTTGATGTATTCATGTGATCATACGCGGCGTCTTGCCCACGGATTTGTTGTTGAATAAGTTCCCGAATTTGCCCATGAGATTGTGAAATATCAAGCAAGTAAGAAGGGGTATTATAGTAATTGCATTTAAGCAATTATTCTCCCTCTGTTGGAAAGATAAGGCAAAACGTGGGGAAGACGTAGACTGGGGTAGGTTTCAATTGTTTGTTTCAATTCTCATCATTAGGTTAAGACCGTACTACTTAGTTAATTTGTTACTAATTGCTCATTATAAGTAGGACTTTGCTACTTGTACATCACAATGTACATCGCCCGTAAGCCCCCTTACATGAATAAAAAATATTTTATGCAGTGAGTTCCACCCCCATATAAGGGAGGTGTAGCCCCTTATATATAAAAGTTGATGTACAAGTAGAATTTTTCTTATGATTTATGCTACTTGTACCTTTTCAGGTACACTTTGATTTACCCGACCCCACCTCCTCCCTCACATGGGGGTCGAGTCCCACATCTAATAAATGCGTGGGACTCAATCCCCATGTGAGGGATGAGGTGGGGCCGGGTAAGCCAACATGTACCCCAATGGGTACATGTAGCAACATTGTTCAGAGTTTATCGAGTTTGATCATTTAGAAATAAGATGGAATGATATATGAGTAAAATTTGTCTGGATCTGTGCTAATCACTTCAAATAAATTGTATTTGAGCGATACGATGCAGTCGTAACTTAAATTTATGCATTTTATTATTATTTATTTTTCAAAAAATTAATTAAAAGAATAGTTAGGTGATGTGGCCCACCTGGCAATTCTGAACATGATAGGATAACCTAGCTCGTAAAAGAAAAAAAAATGCAATTCATAGAAGAAAAATGGGTATCCAATCATATAAAATCGATTAAGGTTACTTACCTGAGTTGGTATGTTTATGGTCTTATTTGATGTTTCAATTTATTAAGCTCATTTTGTAGGTGAATTGATAAGCTAATGCATGGTTAGCTTGATTTATTAATTTATTAAAAAAGACAAATTCAAATATTAGTTTGGATTTAGAGCAACTCGTTTGCCCTGCAATTTTTTCACACGATATCGAGTCGATACAAATGATTGCATTATGGTTTTAAAAAACAATTATTTTGAAAGGAAAGTTTTTGATGAGTTCAATAATGAAAAAGTCCCGTGATTTGTGCTAATTAGACATGTTTGTTTGGCTAAATTTTAATAAAAAAATAAATTGAATTTACCTTTGCACAAACTTTAATTTAGTGGTGTTTAAATAAGTTAACGTAAAAAATTTTTAACCTAGTACGAAGTTCATGCTTAACTTGACACAATCAAGTTGTCTTCAGTAGCGTATAACGCAAGTTAATGTTGGGTAATGTCGTGTCCTAGATACAAAATGAGTTGAATGGTGCTTAAAACTTGCTCGATTATACTTAAAAGCTACAATTTTTTCAAATAAAGTAAGTTTTGTTAAGAAAAAGTAGTTTTGAAAGTTATGTTTTATCTTACAAAACATGTATGATAATGACTAAGTGTGCATAATCAAGGCTGTGATTGAAACCCATTGCAGACAGATAAGATCGTAACTGGACAGGCAGAAGTGGATGAAAAATATATGGATTAGAATGAGAGAGTTTGACTGGAATGTGTATATTTTTGTCACGTGTCCAGCTATAAATGGAGACAAAATGCCACCCAATTCTGGTATTTTTTGCTGCAATTATGATCATTACAGCCAAGTTATTTTTACATCTTGATTTTTTTTTTTTTTTGAAAAATTGATTCATATTAAATCAAGATAGCAAATAATGGATACAAGGAGAGAATTCCTCCTACACATTGCTCTCCTCAGAGAGTTTAAGTGCACCCAATTGCAAAGTAAAAATCAGCCTCCATCACTACCAATGGTACAAGACCAAGCAACCCACACTAAAAGGTCATGCCCTGGACATCACAATAGCTGGATCAACCAGGCTTTGAGTTCGCCATTCTATAATCAACCACCTGAAGCCGAGCTCTGATCAAGATTGAAGCAGGGTCATCAAATTTACTCTCACACACAAAGGAGTTCCGTCTCTTCCAAATCAAATATGTCGTGACTGTAAAAAACTCCATTTCCTCCGCAGACAACTTGTTGAAAAGGTGACAAACAAGTTCATTGAAATGTAGTGGCCGGAAGGACATTTTTTGTAACTTACGTGAGTTGGCTCCCCATATATCCTGGGCTGCACTACACTCCCACAATGCATGGACCACAGACTCATTTTCCTGGGAGCAAATCGGGCAAAGAGGAGACTCCCTAATGTGCCTCCTCTTCAAGTTTAGATTAGTGGGTAATGAGTTATGGGTAGCACGCCACAGAAACATCTTGATTGCATTCGGGGCCACAATACTCCAAATCTTCCTCCAAACTCCTTTTTGGGGATCACTATATGAGCATTGACCCAAAAAATCGCGCTTCAGCTGATTGATACAATGGTAAGCACTCTTGACTGTAAATTTCCCATCCTTTGTTCCCTCCCAAATGCATATATCTGGACAACCACTCGGACTGATAGGAATCTTACTAATGGAAGTGGCATCTGCAATATTGAATATTTGAAATATCAGGTGCATGTCCCAGGATTTCGAATCTGCATTAATGAGGTCTCTCACTCTTCTGTTGGTTATCCTCTCATGAAGGAAAGATTGAAAGAGTGAATTGGATGCTTGAGGTATCCATTTATCCTTTCCAATGACCACCGATGCCCCGTTTCCAATACGCCAAGATGATCCCCCTCGCAGTACTGACTTAATACTAGAGAAACTCTTCCAAATGTAGGAGGCATTGCTACCTACCTTACTATTTAGGAAATCTGTTCTACTGTAATATTTCGCCTTAAGTACCTTCTCTGCAAGTGAGCCCGAATTTTGGATTAATCTCCAACCCTGCTTAGCCAATAATGCTGCATTAAAATGTTCGAAGTCTCTGAAACCAAGCCCTCCCACCATTTTGGAAGATCCCAACAAGTTCCATGGGAGCCATTGCATCTTTGTTTTCTCGCCCCTGCTTCCCCACCAAAAATTCTTTACTTGCCGATTTATCGCCTGGAGGATAAGACGGGGAAGTTTGAACAAGCTCATACAATATGTAGGAATAGCTTGGATAATAGCTTTAAGAAAAACTTCTTTTCCTGCTAGAGAGATAAACCTCACCGTCCAATTATTCATCCTACTTCGAATAGAGTCAAGAACCGGCTTGAACGCAGACATTTTATTCCTACCAATATAGGCCGGCAACCCCAGATACTTTTCAAAAGATAAAGCTTCTCTGACACTAGCGGCATGAAGAACGGCTGACTTTATTTCCTGCCGAGTATTGCCACTGAAATAAATGGAAGTCTTTTCCATATTCAACCTTTGCCCCGACTCCAGTTCGAATGAGTTGAGTAGAAAGGACAACATCCACCATTCCAAGACATTGGCCTTACAAAATATCAAACAATCATCAGCGAAAAATAAATGATTTACCAGCAAGTTACCTCTTGCAAACGGAAAGCCTGAGATCAACCCTTTTGCCTCGGCATTATCCAGTAATGTGCTAAGAACTTCTGAGTAGATAATAAAGAGGTAAGGAGACAAGGGATCCCCTTGCCTGAGCCCCCTCGAGGGTTGGATCTGAGGTTGCGGTTCACCGTTTATGATCAGTGAATATTTCACAGTCCTCACACAGTTCATAATCAGCTCAACCCATCTATCGCCGAAGCCAAGCTTTCTTAAGACCGCTTCAAGAAAATTCCATTCAATGCGATCGTAAGCCTTGCTCATATCCAGTTTGAGAGCCATGTAGCCTTCTCTTTTTCCTCTAACTCGATACTTCATGGAATGCATAGCTTCAAAAGCCACAATAATGTTATTGGAGATTAACCTCCCTGGGACAAAAGCGCTCTGAGCTGGAGAGATAATATCCGCCAAAAAGGGTTTAAGTCTATTGGCCAAAACCTTCGAAACCACCTTATAAAAAACGTTGCACAAACTAATAGGTCTAAAGTCGGATACCGATAAAGGATTCTTCTTCTTGGGAATCAAAGCTATATAGGTTTCATTAATGTCATGAAAACCTAGCTGCGTTTCAAAAAGTTCTTTAACTGCTGCGCAGAATCCTTCCCCAATTGCGTCCCAGTTGTCCCGGAAAAATCCAGCCGAAAACCCATCGGTTCCAGGAGAACTCATCGGATCCATATCAAAAAGTGCTTGTTTTACTTCCTCATCTGTGCAGGCACCCTGAAGATGATCGTTCATGATCGGAGAGATCTTAATATCAAGATCCTGAATCACATCTTCAATGCCGGTCGGGGAAGATGATGAAAATAACTGTTGGTAGAAAAGTTGGAACGTGGCAGCAATCTCAATCTGTGAAGTTGACTTGTCTCCCCTGGCATTCAATATACTTCTGATAGTATTTTGTTCCTTCCTCTTGGAAGCACATTTATGGAAGAAGGAAGTGTTCTTGTCCCCACACTTCAACCACAATTGTTTCGATCTTTGCCTCCATTTAATTTCATCTTCTGCAAGCAAACCATCAACTTGATTTTGAATGACTCTGATCCTCTCATTCAAGTCCCCTTTGTTAACCTGCTGCAATGACCTAAGTTTCTGCATGTTAACCTTAAGAGTCTTCTTAGCTTCTCTGGCATTAAACCGAGCCCCAATTTGAAGCCTGTCCCTACATCTCATAAGGCCCTCTTTAAACCACCCCAGTGAACTGTTATGGCCCCTAAGATGAGACCAGGAGCTTGCAATGATGTCCTTAAATTCCTGTTTCCCTGCCCAAGCTGCTTCATACCGGAACAACAAGCGGGCATTGGGGAACAACTGAAAGTGGCCTTGATTACAGTTGATAGATAAAGGGTTGTGATCTGAATTACAAACTGGGAGCACCTGCACTACACAAGAACCGTATAAGGCCGGAAAGGTGGCATTAGCGCAAGCTCTGTCCAGCCGTTCCTTGGTAAAATCCGTCCCCTCCCTTTTATTACTCCATGTGAACTTAGAGCCAACATAACCCAAGTCAGACAATTCACAGTCATCAAGTGCCTTGCTAAAGTTTTCCATATGGGAGAAAAGTCTGTGTGCACCCCCTACCTTTTCATCTTGGCTAATTATCTCGTTGAAATCCCCCATTATTAGCCACGGGGATGGGCTCTCAGGGGTGAGTCTTCTCAACATTTGCCAACTGTCCTGCCTCCTTTCCGCAACTGGGTTGCCATAGAATCCCGTCAGTGCCCATGGAAGTTGGGTGTTACCATCCATAATTTGCAGTGAAATGTGGCTCTGCGAGAAATTAAGTAATGAAGCTTTCACCTCCTCCTTCCAGAAAATCGCCGGACCTCCACTCCGCCCGACGCTGTCCACGCCAAAACAATTTTCGAACCTCAGCATCACCCTAATCCTCTCCAATTTGCTGCTGTGAATTTTGGTTTCTGAGAGAAAAACCACTTGTGGGAGCTTCGTCTTCACCCAATGGAAGAGCTCGCAGACTGTCTGAGGGTTTCCAATCCCTCGACAGTTCCAACATACCAAGTTCAAGGAAGTTCTAGACATACCAACACCTCTATGGATCGAGATCCAGGAGGAGAAAGAACCTCTATGGATCGAAATCCAGGAGGAGAAAAAGCTAGGAGCTCGAGGAGCCCTAGGGAGAACCTTACCTTTACCAAAGGAAGGACAGTATTTTTTAAGAACTCATCTAAAGCCACATCTTGATTGATCTAATATTTGTATGTGTTTGGTAACACAATTAGGGTTCGTTTGATAGGTAAATGGGGAAAGAAATTATAATTTTATGTTAGTTGAAAAATAAAAACCCACCAAATTCATAAGAATTCATTTTTTTATGAAAACAAAGAAAATGCAGTGTAAAGTGGTTGTATCTTGGAATTCGGTTTCCATTTTCACGATGCAATCAAACAGTCAAAGTGGAATTCATTTTCCTCGAATGTGACATTTTTTATGGAATTCGTTACAATTAAACAAACCTAAGTTTTTCTATGCGTATATTATCTTTAACCTTAATTATTTGTTTTTAAAGTGACCAGATTTGATAACACATAGCACTTATACATCTCTTGTTTATGGATTTGTCGATGTTATTTACTCGTGCATTTTTCTTTTCTCTTTATTTTTATTCGTAAAACAATCATACACATCTTTTGTAGCATTTGAAATTGTAAACACAAACCATTTTAATAACTTCGAAAAAATCTGGACGATACAACCAACGCACTAAAGCTCAAAATGAACAAAAATTATCACCATTCATTACATAACTGAACCTAAAGTAGTAAAAATATGGTCTTAGTCAGCCAAAGAGATCAAACCATCATAAATCTACAAAGAAAAATTGGTCTATTAAGGCAAAGACTTGTAGTATATTACTTGATTTTCGTATCACTTACTCTAACCATCTGAATTTTTTCAGAATTTGAGACCGTCTATCCCGGTGGACTGCCCTCCGCCATGAAAGCTTTGATTGAACAACGTTGGTCTCTGCAGCCAGACAAGAGGCCTGAGTTTTGGCAGATTGTGAAGGTGTTAAAAGAGTTCGAGTCTTCACTAGCCCGTGGTGGATCCCTGAATCTAGTGCAAAACCTCGCGTGTCAAGATCACGAGAAAGGACTGCATCATTGGATTCAAAAAATTTGAAGGGTGAAACTGCTGGTTTAATTAGACATGCTTTTCTGGGTCGTAAAGTTGCACAATACATCTAATAGCTACGACTATGAGATTCTTCTGAACCACAATTTCCCATTTTGTTACTGCCATTGTACAAACTTGTATTACTGCAGTTTTTAAGTTGAATGAAATTCCTTGCACGGAATAATATTACAACTTCATTTAAGCTGTGATATTTTGTTTATTTTATGTTTTCTTCGCATTTCTAAAAACTGAGAATCGATTATTTTTGTGCGTTTTGCGATATGAAGATATACTTCAGTGCATTTGTTTCTTTTTAGTTTTTTTTCCAAGCAAATCTGAATTCATGCCTACCACCATGTAACGTGGGTTTGCATAAAACCCACTGTGTAAAAAATGTAACCCCTTCGGGAGTGGCCAAGTTGGTGGAGCAGGTGAACGCAGAGACCAAAAGTCACGAGTTCAAATTCTCTGCCAACACTTCTTCGATCGAGCCGTCGCATCAGGCTTGCTCAATACGATTTACATCTCCTTTGTAGTTTGCGGGCTATTACATATGGAGCGGAGTTTACCTAGTGCGCACTTACAGTGGTCGAACCCCCGCTCCTTCAGGGTGGTCGCACCTCCGCTAGAGGGTAGCGGCTGCGGATTTCTATGTCAAAAAAAAAAAAAAAATGTAGCATAAAATTGGACAAAATTGTTTATGACAAAAGGGTCCGTCCAGTCGATTTCCTTTTTAATTTAATTTATTATCGTTGTTGTTATTGATAATTAAACAAGTTAGGTTCTACAATTCATATGATTTAAAGTCGACATGTACAAAACATATCGAAATAAGTGCTAATGATTGTAGAGTCCATATCAAGTTTAGAACAAGTATTGTATTTGAAAAAAAAAATAGAAAAATTCCTCAAGTACAGAAATTATTGACAGATTTTTTACAGAAATTTGAAATTTGTGAATCTTGTCCCTTAATCTGTGTTTTTCCTTCTCACTTGATTGAATCCCTTCCCTCCAAAAAGAAAAATTGGTCTATTAAGGCAGAGACTTGTAGTATATTACTTGATTTTCGTATCACTTATTCTAACCATCTGAATTTTGCAGAATTTGAGACCGTCTATCCCGGTGGACTGCCCTCCTGCCATGAAAGCTTTGATTGAACAACGTTGGTCTCTGCAGCCAGACAAGAGGCCTGAGTTTTGCAGATTGTGAAGGTGTTAGAAGAGTTTGAGTCTTCACTTGCCCGTGGTGGATCCCTGAATCTAGTGCAAAACCTCGCGTGTCAAGATCACAAGAAAGGACTGCATCATTGGATTCAAAAACTTGAAGGGTGAAACTGCTGGTTTAATTAGACATGCTTTTCTGGGCCGTAAAATTGCACAATACATCTAATAGCTACGACTACGAGATTCTTCTTCTGAACCACAATTTCACATTTTGTTACTGCCATTGCACAAACTTGTATTACTGCAGTTTTTAAGTTGAATGAAATTCCTTGCACGGAATGATATTACAACTTCATTTAAGCTGTGTTTATGTTTTCTTTGCATTTCTAAAAACTGAGAATCGATTATCTTTGTGCGTTTTGCGATATGAAGATATACTTCGGTGCATTTGTTGCATTGGTTTCTTTTTTGTTTTTTTTCCAAGCAAATCTGAATTTATGCCTACCACCATGTAACATGGGTTTGCAACCATTTTTCCTTAAAAAAAAAAAAAAAACATTTACAACGTCAAACCCATTGTGTAAAAAATGTAGCATAACCCCTTTGGGGGTGGCCAAGTTGGTGGAGCAGGTGAACGCGGAGACCAAATATCACGAGTTCGAATCATCTGTCAACACTTTCTCGATCGAGCATGTCGCATTAGGCTAGCTCAATACGATTTACTTCACCTATGTGGTTTGCGGGCTGTTACACATGGAGCGAAATTTACATAGTGCGCATGCACAGTGGTCGGACCTCCGCTAGCGGATATCGGCTGCAGATTTCTATGTAAAAAAAAATGTAGCATAAAATTGGACAAAATTGTTTATGACAAAAGGGTCCGTCTAGTCGATTTCCTTTTTAATTCAATTTATTATCGTTGTTGTTATTGATAATTAAACAAGTTAGGTTCTACAATTCAAATGATTTAAAGTCGACATGTACAAAACATATCAAAATAAGTGCTAATGATTGTACAGTCCATATCAAGTTTAGAACATGTATTGTATTTGAAAAAAAAAATAGAAAAATTCCTCAAGTACATAAATTATTGACAGATTTTTTACAGAAATTTGAAATTTGTGAATCTTGTCCCTCAATCTGTGTTTTCCCTCCTCACTTGATTGAATCCCTTCCCTCCAATTTAAATTCCCGCGTGATTTCTATGAGTATTTCCTGTACTCATAGCAGAATTCAAAAAAATAAGGTGTAAAATTTCATTTTGTAAGTGATGGGACAACATGGAGACAAGAAATAATGATGTATGATTAAAAATTAAAGAATAATAATGAATTTATGTATAAAATTACTTTATGAAAAAATGTGTAATTAAAAATAAATTTTCGATAAAATAGAGTCCGAACAGGGACAACGTATTATTTGTAAAGAAGGATGATTCTAGCATTCATTTTTCCTCCATCCGTTACCAGGAAAAAACTGGAAAATTACTTGATTGATAAGGGAAAAATACTCGAAATTTGAATTTGTTCGAGTCCAACTTACCATTTAATACGGCCCATCTAATATACAAGGCCCATTCACAAATAGGGTTTTCGTCTCCCCTATCTATACAGAAACCCTAATCAGACGAATCAGACATTCAGACCCCAAAAATCTCAGAGAAAAAAATGGTGGGATTTGAAGTAGGTTCAGTGCCCTTTAACCCCGATGGATGGGGTCCGCCGGAATCATCTTCTCCTACACTTTCTGTACCAAATCATCCCTCCAATGTGCCGTTTGCCCCTTTCTCCCGCTCCGAGAAGCTAGGGCGTATCGCCGACTGGACGCGTTCGCTCAACAACCAGGGACGACCTGGATCCAAGCAAGGTCACCACGCATCTGATTCTGCTTTTGATTTCTCCGGCGATGACTCTTTTGCTACTCTTGCAGCCGACGAGGACTCCTCCTTCCGCCTTGTCGATACCTCTGCCAAGTCTCACCACCACAACAACCAGAACCGCCCCAAGTTTAATCCAAGGTGGCGCTTTAACCCCCACCACCAGCGATCCCAGCTGCCTCAGCGCCGTGACGAGGAGGTCGAGGCGAAAAAGAGGGAGGCTGAGAAGGAACGTGCTCGAAGGGACCGTCTTTACCATAATAACCGCTCCCAGATGCCGCAGCGTCGTGAGTCCGCGGTGTTTAAATCTTCGGTTGACATTCAGCCGGAGTGGAATATGTTGGACCAGATTCCGTTCTCTACTTTCTCTAAGCTCTCTTTCTCCGTCCCTGAGCCTGAAGATTTATTGATCTGCGGTGGGCTGGAGTTTTACGACAGGGCTTATGATAGGATTACCCCAAAGAATTGCCGACCACTGGAACGTTTCAAAAACCGAAACTTCTTCAAAGTCACCACCACTGATGACCCAGTCATTCGCCGGTTGGCGAATGAGGATAAAGCTACTGTTTTTGCAACTGATACTATCTTATCGACCTTAATGTGTGCCCCCAGGTCTGTCTACTCTTGGGATATTGTGATCCAGCGGGTTGGGAATAAATTGTTCTTTGATAAGCGTGATGGTTCACAGTTGGATTTGCTTTCTGTCCATGAGACCTCTCAGGAGCCCTTGCCTGATGTGAAAGATGATATTAATTCAGCTTACTCATTGAGTGTTGAGGCAGCATATATTAATCAGAATTTTTCACAGCAGGTTTTGATTAGGGATGGGAACAAGGTTGCTTTCGAGGAGTCCAACCCATTTGCCAATGAAGGGGAAGAGGTGGCATCGGTTGCCTATAGGTATAGGAGGTGGAAATTGGACGATGATATGCATTTGGTTTCACGTTGTGAAGTGCAGAGTGTGGTTGAGGTGAATAAACAGAAGTCGTTTTTGACTCTTAATGCACTTAACGAGTTTGATCCCAAGTATTCTGGTGTGGAGTGGAGACAGAAGCTGGAGACTCAACGGGGTGCGGTGTTGGCAACTGAGTTGAAGAATAATGCAAATAAGATGGCAAAATGGACTGCACAAGCTCTTTTGGCTGGTGCGGATATGATGAAATTGGGCTACGTTTCAAGGGTTCACCCAAGGGATCATTTTAACCATGTGATTTTGGCAGTCGTGGGGTACAAGCCAAGGGATTTTGCTACACAGATTAATTTGAATACTTCTAACATGTGGGGTATTGTGAAGAGTATTGTGGACTTGTGTATGAAGTTGAATGAGGGTAAATATGTGCTTGTAAAGGATCCATCAAAGCCGCAGGTGAGAATTTATGAGGTCCCACCAGATGCATTTGAGAATGATTATGTGGAGGAGCCCCTGCCAGAGGATGAACAGGTTCAGCCGCCTGCTGAGGATGCAGATGGTGCCGAGGCAAATGCTACAACAGAAGATGTAGAAGAGAAGGAGACTAGCAGTGCAGCTGCTTAAAGGGTAATGATTTCTTGTGCCAATTATATTTAATTATAATTAGACTTAAATCTTCTTTGCTGTTATGTACTTAGCAGTTAAGTTGCATCTCAATGTTTGTTAGATTGAAGTATGAGAATTCGTTCTTCTCTTAATTCACTTGGTCAATTTGATTGATGCTAATTTCTTTTGTAAGTTGAAGTATTTGAAGTTCATGCGCAGCAAATTAAACAGATTACTATACTTGTACCAAAACATTTACATTATGATGACATTAAACTTTCCTTGGTAATACTGATTTGAAGAACTGAAACGCGTTTAGGAGAAAGTGTTGGCTAAATCAATTATGAGTTGCAAAACATGATTATCTATTAGATTGAAATATGACCTCATATGGGATATGGCTGATACGATATGAAATATGTTTGGTCTAAAAGGGTTTTTAATTGGTAATGGATTGAAGGAACAAAGAGGCAACAAAATCAGAGTTCTATGGTTGTTTAGGTATGCTTTGAAAATTAAAATTTAGAAATGAGGAAGAAGAGTAAAAGCATCTCCAAGAAACTCTAATCACAAAATGTTATTTATTTTAGATGATCAATGCTTCAAAACATCTCCAAGAGACTCTTTATTTCAATTTTTTAAAATAGGCTCTCCAAATTTAAGAGCCAAACTCAATCTCTATTCTTAATGTACAATGATTGCATTTAATAAATCGTTTGTTTCAATACTCTACTTTTTAAACTATTCAAACCACATTTACATTGATTGGTCAATTGACGTATAAAAAATTATGTTATATAAAATATGAAGAGAAATCATTAAGTGTTTCTTAATAAAAACAAAATGAAGTGTAAAAATAGAGAGCTTGTTAGTGTGTAAAAATTTTGACTATCTAAATTTAAATATGCTCTCTATAATAAATAAGATGCTCTTATTTATTATGATGCTGTCATTAATCCTCTGGAACAAGTTCTAATCAAAGGCTAAATGCATTGACTGGTAAAGCAACTCTAAGTTAATCGACTGTGTAACTATAAACCATGTAGGAGTAAATGTAAGAGTTGACTCGAGATAACAAGAAATTTAGTAACATCCAGAAATACAGAAAGCAAGAGTTGACCCAAACTAGAGTCTGTTAAGTCACATTTCAAAATGTTGCAGATAAGAGATTTTCTGTAGTTAATCATTTCTCTCCTTTAAGAAACTATTATAATTCTGCCAAGGATGGAACTGGGCATAATATTTTTAAATGATTCTAAAATAGAACTCCCACGATATCTAGAAAGTATGTCTTCTTCCAATTAAAATCCAATGGTTGTATTAATCTGTGATTTAATGGACATAGAGTCATAGACTTTCCCATAGTGGTTAAGTCTTAGGGTGTGGAATTGGTTGTTTCCCAGCAGCCTTTCCAAGTGTAGTAGTAGGATCAGTAGTTGTACTTAGTGAAGTAGGGTCTTCCTACTTTGAGGATTGAGTAAATTGGATTTATTAGAGAAGTCTTTAAATATGAGTGAGTTGGCCTTCCTTGCCTCAGCTTATAACGCTAAGCTTATTGCCTTAGCCATTATACAAATGGATTTCAGCTCAAGCCTCTCTATATCATCTTAGAGTCGGTTCCATAATGACATAGGTAAGGGAGAATCAAGGTTCAATAACGAACTCGAGAGATTGAGCTTCCTCAAGCCAATCTGATTGAAGAACGACTAACAAAGAAATTGGAGCAAACAGCTCAAACATGGTTTTAAAAGGCGGTAGTGAGGGGCATGTAGTATGCCTCGAGGCGGTATTTTTGAAGCTAAAATTATGAGGCTCACGCCTCTAAATCTGAGGCAATCGCCTCACTACTGCCTTTTGTAGAAATTGAGAGTAGCGAAGAGGAAGATGATGGG